GGAATATTCTGCCAAGTTTTTATTTCATCAGCAGCTGATGCACTGTAAGAGCTCCCCACCTCCTCAGTTGTGCTACAAGTATTTGGCCATGCCCTGAGGGTGGAAGCTGCCAACAGGTAAGACAAAGAACATAAATGTATTTATATGTAATAAAAAGGTAAAGTGGTACCATAAATTTATCCATTCTTCCTAAACCAAATGCAATATTCTGCCAAGTTTTTATTTCATCAGCAGCTGATGCACTGTAAGAGCTCCCCACCTCCTCAGTTGTGCTACAAGTATTTGGCCATGCCCTGAGGGTGGAAGCTGCCAACAGGTAAGACAAAGAACATAAATGTATTTATATGTAATAAAAAGGTAAAGTGGTACCATAAATTTATCCATTCTTCCTAAACCAAATGCAGTTGTAGGGATGTAATACACCTGAGATGATTGTCTGTAGCCTAGGAAGTTGAAGCCCAGTCTTATCAGATAACATTCATGATCTTGAACAAGTCACCTTTTTCTCATATGTAAGTAGAATGTGGGATCTTTTACCTAGAAGATCTGGCCTAGTTCAACCACAGTTATTGAAACTGAGGGGGGAATTACTTGAAGGATGCACACAGCCTGCATGAATACAAGTTCAGAAGAGCTAATTGTGGCAGTTCCTTCCAAACTGAAAACCTCTACGTGCCTTAGAATCCTCTCTGGATGGGAAGGTGGGTGTGCACCAGCATCAGTCCAGCCCCATGCAGTACTGCACAAAAACTGGTTTATCATTAAATACTATTTATTCCTGACATGTTTCCACTCTTTTGAGATTTTAGTAGCATCCATATGAAATGGAGGCAAAATCACTATGTTTTTGACTTACTACGTTTGATTTTTATTATAACAAAAATTATAATTCAATAAAATGCAGCAACAAATTTTTATTTCCTTTTTATATACTATGTGTTACTAATTCTGCTGCTAACTTGGGGCTTTTGTAATTATTTTTAAACGTTATTTAGCATGTTATTGCAAGTCCAAGTACTATCTTTTAATATATATTTTGGCCATGGCCAAACAGAAAATGATCCAGACCTGTTCAAATGACAGAAGAAAACATAATAACCTTCATAATCTATTGTAGCCTATCTGTATGTGTTTAAAACTGACTCCCATTGGCAAATATAAGCACTTAAACCAGTAGGAATAGATCAAAGGTATAGCTACGAAGTAAGCTTCCCTAGCAATGGACGGAGTATTTTTGCATAGATGTGAATTTTCAGATGGTATTATTCATCTCTGGGTCTACGGTTTTGCAGTATTGCTGTACATGACTAAACAGCTGTTGTTTTCCACCCAGGAGATGGCTGTCTTTCAGCGGCTGGTAAAGTGATACCTGTACATTTATTCAGGGCCTACTTTAAGATCCTTTCGTGTTAGTGATGTTATGAGACTTTCCTGGATGATTTTGTCTAAAACATAGACTCTGGATGAGTCTTCCATTTTAGATGATTTGAACTCTGCTAAATGTCTACAGAGACACAGCCCATATGTTCCAATCCAAACACCTCAGTTGGCACTAGTTGCCAATGTAGGAAGAAGAACAAAGAGAAAAACAAAGACCATGTTGTGACAGAGCTGTCGGAAAAGGCAGAGCATGAAAGAAACACAGCAAAGCTGTAGTAAGACTGCACAACAGACCAGTTAGGCACTTCAAGACAGTAACCTTAAATCTATTTCTCCATTTTAAATGTTTTTGCTTTCAAGTGCTGCTTCATTACACGTTGCCAGCCTCAAAGCAAAATGAAAAAACAAAATCAAAAGCACAAATTAAACAAAGCCATGAGACTGAGCTAAACTCCCATTTGCAAAGGTTTCTAGCACACGTGGGGAATTGGTGCAGTTATTTTGTTGCGCCCTTGCCTATTGCAGCTGGCCATGCTGATTGCCACTGCCAGCCCTCCGGAACATGAGTCAGACCACGCAGAGGCCCACGCTGCTTGTCTGAGGTCACCACGCACCAACCTCCCTCTAAAATTCAAACAGCTCACGCTGTACCACATGCCAAGTCCTTGCCCAGCCCCTGCCCGTGAGGCCTGCTGAGTCCTTTCCGGGGTTTCCTTCCTCTTCAGTGTCTGCAACAACCATCTTCCCTCCCGCCTGCGCCCCGAGACAGACAGGGCTTTGACCCCGTTATCTGGGAACATGGCTATGCAGAAACAGGACACCGTCTCTTAGAGTACATAGGAAGTTATCTCGAGATCAGAGGAGATTATCACAGTGGTCCCTTTTGTTCCTTAAAAATAAACTAATAAAAACAACAAAACCTCAGGGAAGATGATCTCTGTCTTCACACCGCCTGCGGTCAGGGTGCCTGGCTGCGGGGCATCGCACCGAGCTGGGAGGTGTGGAGAGGGGAGAGGCCCGAGGCAGGGCCGGAGGGACCCTGGAGGGAAGGGGAGCGTGGCGTGCCTCCCAGCGTGCCTCGGGGCACCATGGCAAAGCGGGGAAAACCAGGGCCCGGGCAGCACCGAGGAGGGAGGATGTGCTGGGAGAGGGATGGGGAGAACACGGGAGGAGGTACGTCGGCGGGTCTCCCTCAGATGCCTTCAGCCCAAGGACTGGGCAGAGTTTTCTGGGGGCGACCTGTGGTAAAGCGTGCCGGCAGCGCCCCAGGGAAGCGGTGAGTGGGGAGGACGGCCCTGCTCTCTGAGGGGCTGCAGAGGGCGCGGGGGTCTCACACCCCGCCTAACGCAACACGCCACCGGGGCCATTCACGTTCGTTCGCCCCCCCAACTGGGGGTGCCCCCGCGCGCCGGCCGCGCTGGGGA